GAGAGAGGAAGGAAGGAAGGAAGGAAGGAAGGAAGGAAGGAAGGAAGGAAGGAAGGAAGGAAGGAAGGAAGGAAGGAAGGAAGAGGTATGGTGGTGGATGATTATGCACTGGGGTTGCCAACCTCCAGGTAGTGCCTGGAGATCCCCCGGGATTACAACTGATCTCCAGGTGACAGGGATCAGTGCTCCTGGAGAAAATGGATGCTTTGGAAGATGGACTGTATGGCATTATACCCGAGTGAAGTCCCTCCCCTCCCCTCATCCTTCCCTCCTCAGGTCCCACCCCCAAAATCTCCACATATTTTCCAGCCCAGAGCTGGCAAGCCCATTATGCACCAGCTCAAAAAAGGAGAATAAAATAGCAGAGGAAGTTAACGCCTCAACATGGAATATATGATGTTCCTCTTACTTTTTTCTCCTCCACGGTGGACCCCTCCGATCCCTCCCGTCGCAAACACAGGGATACCAGCTTTGTGTGCCACAAGCATAGTTCCTGCCACAGTAGTACCACCGGACAAGCCCTGTCGTAGAACAGCCGGTCAAAGTCCAGTTAGAATATAACCCAATCAGCAGTGCACAGAGCAGCAATTCACAGGGAAAGGGAACTGAGGCAAGACAGCAAGGGTTGTGGTAATCTGATCCTGAAAACCCCCAGGCTGCCCTGGGTCAGGGTCTCCATCTCTGAGCACAGTGGGTTCCCAGTAAGTGGGGATTTTTAACCCAGGTCAACCTGGGGATTTTTCTACTGATAAGCATATTGTCAAACAGACAAGTCAATCAATAACTAGTAGATGTTTGGATGTTGTATGGATGGATCAATATGTTTCTATGGCAGATCTAAAAGAAAGAAATATTGACATTCAATGGTTTCAGTCTACCCAGTGGAGACATTATATGGTTGCAAATAAAGCCAAACAAAAATTAAGTAATAATTCAACAGAGAAAATGGGAAGAAAATGCTTCAGTGTGATATCTCTGAACAAGAATTTATTTATTTATTTATTTATTTATTCCATTTATACCCCGCCCTCCCCACGAACAGGCTCAGGGTTGCTTACATTAATCGGTACCCAGTACCATAAAACCATATACAAAAGTTAAAACATATTAAACATTTAAAACAATCAGGTAATCAAAGTGCTAGTGATAGTAATGGAGACTTATATTCACAACAGGTCCTGCTAAAGTAATACGAATTAACGTGGTAGAGAATTTTTAGCAAATAATATATTTGTGACACTATACTCCCCACAAACTACATAAGATATTTGAGGGGAAGCAGTATAAACGTTGGAAATGTGGCCTTATTTCTGCAGATTTCAGCCACACATGGTTGTTTTGCCCTGTGAACAAAATTTGTTAGTGATCACAAAAACAGAGCGCAAAACTTCTTACAAATTACCCGTGACTCCAACAGCTATACTGCTTGGTATAATTGGTGATCATATACTTGTTGTGAATAGAAGTATAATACAAGATCTGTTAATGGTTGCAAAATTGTTAATTGCAAAAAATAATAATAATGGAGAAATGTTAAATCCATGAATATTAAAATGTATATCCAAAAAGTATGGTATCTGGTAAAATAATTTAGATTAACAGAGGTTGTATGTTTGAGGGCCAGAAGACAGAAAGATCCTTTCTTTTTTGAATGTTGACAAGCTTGTTAAAGCTACTGGTAGCAGATACTTGGGCTGACTACTGGACTGATTTCACACAAGAGCTGCGCTGCGGTCACGCCTCCCTTTGTCCCGCTTCTATTGGTCAATTTCCCACTCTAAGCCATGCAGCCGCATTTTGAACTGCGGTTTCGCCCGATTTTCCCCGCGGTTTCATGATCCTCAAAAAAAAAACTTATCTGATGTAATGTAATGTATATTTTGTCTGTGTTATAATGCAAACCTTTAAAATAACAACAACAAAATTGCTCATGGATCTTAGAATGTGAGTCCTAAAATCCTTATTTCCTACTTTAGCATTAGGGTTGCCAGTTCTAGGTTGAGAAATACCAGGAGATTTGGGGGGGGGGGAGTGGAGCCTGGGGAGTTTAGGACTGGGAGAAGGGAGGGACTTCAGCAGCTATAATCAGGGCTTTTTTGGTAGAAAAAGCACAGCAGGAACTCATTAGCATAACAGGCCACACCCAACAGCAGGAACTCATTAGCATATTAGGCCACACCCCTGACAGCAGCTCATTAGCATATTATGCCACACCCCACATTACCAGAAGTCTGGTCATCCAGCCACACTCACCTTTTGCTTCTTATTCTGTTTACCTTGTTTGTTGTCAAAACCCAGGGCTTTTTTTTGTAGCAGGAACCCTTTGCATGTTAGGCCACACACCCCTAATGTAGCCAGTCCTAATGAGTTTCTGCTGTTGGGTGTGGCCTATTATGCTAATATGTTCCTGCTGGGCGTGGCCAACTCGGGAGCCAGCCGGAACTCCGTTCCTGTGCGTTCCTGCCCAAAAATAGCCCTGGCTATAATGCCATAATGTTCACCTTCCAAAGCAGCCATTTTCTCCAGGGGAACTGATCTTGGTCATCTGGAGATCAAATGTAAAAGCAGGAGACCTCCAGGTACCACCTGGAGGCTGACAACCCTATTTAGCACCCAGCTGCCTAGAACAAAAGTTAGAATTTCTACCATAGTTGTGCACTTAAGCCCATGGCGATGAATAGGGCCAGGGCATCTCCCACCTCTTAGGCCTACCATGACAACATCAGACCGTCTCCGCTACTTGCTGCCGGGCAATGTTTGTAACCTGTGAGCTGTAAACATACCAATTGCACTTACACAGGAAGCCCTAATAACAACATTTTTAACTAGTTAGCCAGCTGGAAGGTACAGTTTCCCTAGAAGATGCTGAAGAGGCTATGCTGGAAGCACAAGCAGCCTGTATTGCTCTGAGCTTCTTTGGATGTTGGGGCCTGCAGTGATTTGCCGCTGGAACTAATATTGCTGCCTGTGCCTGCTGCTGCACTAGTATCATTCACCTTCGGTCTACAAACGTGTAAATGTATTTATCTGTACAAAAAAAAGAGACTTCTATACTCTTTCCTTCAAAAGAGATGAAGTATGCAGGAATTTCAAAGAACGTTCGGTTATCTGAAGATATATTTAGGCCTCCCTTTGCTAGGCTTGCCATCTGCCCACACACAACAGGTAAACCCTTCTACCCTCAGCCTAAATCCCCTGTCCTTGAGAAATTGAGGAGGAGGAGAAAAAAATGGCCAGAGATTAGGCTCTCTAGTGACATTCCAGGCTAGGAATTTCCTCCACAGTATTTATGAAAGAGATTAAGGGAAATTCCTAGAATGTCACCCAGAAGAGACATCATATCCTCTCCAAACTCAATCCACCCCAGGCACTGCCCTCAAAATCTCCCGGTGTTCATTGAGACAATGCTGGCAACCCTATGACCTTTTCAGGGGTGAGGCGCATCAGCCACAAGTTTTGGTAGGACCAAAAGAGATCAATGAGAGGTATCAGTACCTGGCTGAGAACATAGGGAAAGTCTCTGCGGGATACCTTCACTGCATTTTTTGTTTTTGCCAGACGCTCGAGTTCATCATTCTGGAGGCCTACATGGATACAGCCATTCAAAATGCCTACAGTGGCTGGCACAGCACCATTTGTTCTTACGATTTCCTCTACCTCTCTGGCTGTGCTGGATCAATTCCGCAGAACACAATAAAAAACAAGAGAAGAGAAAATATTTAAGCCTACCAAAATGAAACAGGAATCCTGCAGAACCTTAAAGATCCACAAAATTAATTACAGTGTAAACATGGCTAGCCATCTAGAATTAAGATTCAGGTGGGCAGCCATGTTGGACTGAAGAATATAACAAAGTTTGACTCCAGCAGCATCTTTCAGACCAACACATTTCTGGGTAGAAGCTTTCATGGGCATGCACACTTCTTCCGTTGTGAAAGTGGTTATGTCTAGTTTGGTGTAGTGGTTAAGAGCGTGGACTCTAATTTGGGAGAACCAGGATTGATTCCCCACTCCTCCACAAGCAGTGCTGGTATGACCTTGGGTCAGTCATAAATTCTGTCAGAGTTGTTCTCTCAAGGGCAGTTCTCGAGAGAGCCCTCTCAGCCTTACAGGGTGTCTGTTGTGGGGAGGGAAAGGGATTGTAAGCAGCTCTGAGACTCCTTCAGGTAGTGAAAGGCGGGGTATAGATCCAACCTCTTCTTCTATCCTTCTTATATCAACCTTCATCTGAAGAAGTGTGCATGCACATGAAAGCTCAGGGGTCGTTTCGTAGAAAAAGAGCTAGGGGAACTCATTAGCATAACTCATTAGCATATGCCACATCCCCTGACATCACCGAAAGTGTGTCATAAGGCCACACCCCCTGACATCACCGGAGGTGTGTCATAAGGCCACACACCCCGCCCCCAACGGTCCCGGCCGCCGCCGGCAGCCTTGCAGCTCCACTGCCGAGCCCCATGAGGTGCCCGGCGAAGGCCCTCCCTGGCCCCAGGCAGGCAGGGGTGGGGAGAGGCAGGGAGGAAGCAACTTACCCTCCCTCTTCTCCTGCCTCCTCCTGGCTGAATGAGGGCCGGAAGCGGGGCGGCCGGAAGCAGGGGGCGGGGCTTCATCATGTGCCCCGCCCCCCATACCTCACCCGGGGGAACTGCGTTCCCCCGCGTTCCCCCCCGAAATGACCCCTGTGAAAGCTTATACCCATAAACTCTGTTGGTCTTAAAGGTACCACTGGACTCAAACTTGCATCTAGAATTAAGCTGATTCTATACTGAGATCTGTCCTCCATTGGCCTCCTTAACCCAGTGCTTTCATTTAATTTCTTTCAGCTATTATGAAGTTTTTGTCCAGAACCTTTTATCACCTACAATCTGATCTTTTTAAAAAAATACTGACCGTGGGGACCTTCTGTATGCAAAGCAGATGCTCTGCCAGTGAGCCACAACCCCTACTTATGGCTCTCCCTTTAAAAGTAAGGTTACACACCTGTGCCCATCAGTTGGTGGACTACAACATCAGGTAATGGCTTAAATGCACAGAGCAGCTATCACAGGACAAATGTCGGCGACTATGATAATGCTTTATCTGACATCAGTTCAGAAACAACATTTATCAGCCAAGGCAGCTCATAAATTCAGCTGCAAGTCACCAAGTGATAAGTCCGTCCTCAAGTAATGAAATGTCAGGTGTGCCAAAGGTATGCATGTATCAAAATTCAGTCTTTTGCGACAACGGAAAATGCATAGACTTCACAACCTCAGATTCTGGGGATATGGCATGCCGTGGGTAATTATCGTGCTTTCCAAGGCAACAACAGGCCTCCCATTGTCCAGAGCTTCCTTTACGAAAGGGTGAACTTTGAAGCCAACACCTAGAATAAAGAACAAAATACAGCTAGTACTTATAACGAGAGACACTGACAAGGCAGTTCCTAGGCAGTGCTAAGTCCTTTCCAGTGCATTGAGGTAGACACAGGGGTCATTTCGGGGGGGAACGTGGGGGAACGCAGTTCCCCCGGGTGAGGTGCAGGGGGAAGCCCCGCCCCCTGCTTCCGGCCGCCCCGCTTCCAGCCCTCATTCAGCCAGGAGGAGGCAGGAGAAGAGGTAGGGTAAGTTGCTTCCTCCCCGCCTCTCCCCACCCCTGCCTGCCTGGGGCCAGGGAGGGCCTTGGCGGGGCTTCCTCGCACTCCCGCTGGCCTTGCAGGTCCACCGCCGGGCCCCTGATGTCAGGGGGTGTGGCTTATGCTAATGAGTTATGCTAATGAGTTCCCCTAGCTCTTTTTCTACGAAATGACCCCTGGGTAGACATAATCACTTCCACAACTTAAATGGAGGCCATCACCACCCAAAGTTCTGGGGTTTATATTTGGTAATTCTACCAAGGTTCACAGCAATTGATGTAATTGTTTTGACCAGAAATTGCCATTACTTTGGAATAGTGTGCTAATGGGCAGCCAGTGTGGTGTCAGAGTAGAATCTGAGAGACCCAATGGAAGTCAATCTTTCAACTACTTAATCCTATACTTTTAGCATCATGGCATGGGGCAGGATAGGGGAACCGGGATGTCTGATACCAGGACATTTGCTTAACTCCCTACAAGATTGCTGCCTAAATAAATAAAATAAAAACAAGCATTTATATAACATTTTCTGTATTGAATGTTTCCCATGTATTTCCTTGTTGTAATAAGCCCTGTAAAACAGGCCAGTATTACAGATGGGAGGCAGAGGGCTATTTACAGTACAATCCTAGGCATGTCTACCCAGAAATAAATCCCTCTGGGGTCAAGGGTCAGTTGGAGGCCTCACCACTTGTTTGCCGAGGGAGCAGTCCTAGGCAGGTTATTCAGTGGCACTTACTCCCAGGAAAGTGCCCTTACGGACTACAGCCTCTCAGTCACCATACTAGAGCTTCTAGGTTCAGCACTGAGAGATCAAGGGACATGCAGGGCTATTTTGGGGCAGGAACGCACAGGAACGGAGTTCCGGCTGGCTCCTGAGTTGGCCACGCCCAGCAGGAACTCATTAACATAATAGGCCACACCCAATAGCAGAAACTCATTAGGATTGGCCACATTAGGGGTGTGTGGCCTAACATGCAAAGGAGTTCCTGCTACAAAAAAAGCCCT